TTGGAAATGACACTATATAAGGTAAGAAAGCTTGGGAAACGTAGGTCTGATATTTTTGCTTATGTGATCCAACAAGAAATTGGATTGGTAGTGAATGAAAAATAGAACAAGGTGTAAAAAACAATACCAAAGAAATCTTTCAAATATGTTTGCAGGCGTTTAGAGAACAAAACTCTGCGGTGAGGATTAAATTTTAGGTATATTTAGACAGAGAGGAGAAAGCTTGTTTTTTTTTTTGGGGGGGGGGTTTTCTCTCATTAAAATAAACAGATTTACACCGACTCCACTAGGGTCCTTGTTATAATGTCACAATAATTGTTCAAAAGTAAACTTTGCACTTACCCATCCATCAGACAGCAATTTTCACGATTGCATTCACCTATTTGATACCTGGGTTTGCAACTCCTTGGACATGTCAAAGTTACTAAATCCTACTGCAAAGTTGTCACTCCACTTACACAAAATCTGACATTACTTGCGTGACTGAAGCACACAACTGCACTTGAAAAGCACATTTCTGACAAGCACACATAATCCAGCATTTGAGACAGAAATGTGGTGGCTTTGTTGCGTTTATTCTCAGGTAAAAACAAAAGTTTCCTCCGTAAGCTCGCCCATTTCCCTTACTTAATCAGCGGACATTATTATGTAAAACCAAGTCCTGATGCTCAGTGGACTCGACCAGCCTGCGAAACAGCCTGTGTGTGGAGGCTGGATGTTGATCGGATAAATGTAACAGAGATTACTGAGGTTAATGTAATGTTTTCACTCACTGCTGGGCACACAGAAGACACAGAAGGGATTTCATTCATGCAACTAACAGCCGAGCTGAAAGCCCGTTCACTTTTCCCACTGTTGATGGTCAGTCAAAAACATGTTTGAGCTCTTGTATTTTTAAAAATACCCAATTTTTTGAAAATTAATTGCAGCAGTGGTATGTCCTTTCAAAATATCAAGCTCAATAGGTCATTTCTGAAACAGTCAAAAATCAAATAAAGTTGAGCCATGTCAGAACTATCAGTGGATTCATCGCCAGCCAGACATCACTTTAGCTTTCCTCGTCCAAGTCAAAAGACTTTCAAAAACTTCTGAGGCCAGAATGTCCATCCTACTTCTAGCAGATATGATAGACTTATGCACTTTACGCTTGCTAGCACTTGCTCTTACATGGTTTTCAGCGATCCCTTCATCTAATGAAGCCACGAGACATTAAACCGTCTCTGAAGTGCTGTTTCTTTTTGCAGAGCATCCACACCGCACACAGAAAAGCTATGGTACTTATCTCTTGACTTCAGCAACACCTGCTGAAAACAGCACTGCTACTCTCACAATTTGTTTGGCGACACAGAGATTTTTTTTTTTACTGGCTAGTGTCCAAACCAGCTAGAAAAGTCTGGTGGAAGCCACAAAATTTGGTTAGAAAATGCCTTCACAGGTTGTAATCCTTCGCAATGCCGATGCACTGGAAGAAAAGCAGGCACATCGGCTAGCATTTGGCAGTTTCAGTAAAAACATATTTATCAGTCCACTTACTGTTGAATTTAGAATTCTCAAAGTCAAATTTTATCATCTGAGCTTTGACTTCAACATAGTGTTGCCATGTTTTTCATGCACTCTCTTTGCTACAAGCCTCAAATCACATCACCAGTGCAGAGCGTCCTTGGATGTTAGGAATATTCAATGAGGTTTGGCTAATATGATACATAATTATTGCATAGATGCATATATATATATATATATATATATATATATATATATATATATATATATATATATATATATATATATATATATATATATATAAAGAGAGAGAGAGACAGAGAGAGTGTGTAGCGTAGCTTGCAGTTGTGATTCACAGAACAATTTCTGATAGTAACTTTAATTTTACACTCTGCATTTTAAAGGATGTGTGTAACTGTTGATAAGTTCTGTTGTTCCATAGTAAATATTTGCTAGAATTTAGACCATCTGGTTCAGTGGAGGCACAGTGTGCGATCAGCTTTACGCTTGGTGAAATCTGCTGGTATATGCAGCTTATTTGCTGCATCTGGAAAGCCTTTGTTTCGGTGTTGGAACACTCTTTGGAGTGTGGCTAACATGCACATCTGCGTGGAAAGATGCAACCGTCAGAGTTCAATAGTTTGTGCTTTAATAATGCAAATGAAAGTAACTGCATTCTCGAGCATTGTGAATTCCATTAGGTCTTGAATCAGACTGACATCAGGTTTTGGCTTTAAGCAGGATCCACTTACATAATATCTGGCTGACTCTGACTTAAATTAAAGGCAGAGTTGTAAGAGAAGTTATGATAAAGATCCTTTGGGGTAAAGCAAAAGTGCAGAATCTTCTTGTCTGAACATAACAAGCCAGACAGGATGCATTGTCAAAGTGCAGATAATTGACCCAGAGGAGAGTGGTCGCCGAGACTGTGTCATCAATGGTTTAATAAGCAATTGTCAATTATCTGAGTTTTCTCCTGACACTGCAACCAGCCCCTGAAGGCCCCATCACTGTGATAGGCTAAGAAAAAGCAATTAAAAAGCAAAAAAAAAAAAATATGCTGCAGAAATGGCTTCAACAAATGTCAAGACACGTTTTAACCATCTCTTTTTAGATTCTTCAGGCATCTTTCAGAGACTGAGAGGAGTCTCCTATTGCTTGTTCATGTCATACTTGTAAAGAACGAATTAAAAATAGGCTAAGCAACAGCAAAACTGGCTTTGGAGTATTGGATTTTTTTTTTTCTCTGACCTAAATCTTATGGGTCGAAACATGACTGCTGGGACATGGGCCTAGATTTACCATGCAGAGACTTCTGTTCATGCTTTCCAGGGCCAAATGTCACATCAAGCAGATACAAATTAAAAATGCTCCTCCCCCATCGTTCTTTGGAGTGATACTACAGCCTGGGGACAAATGTAAGACTAGATAGCTGGTACTCTTTGAACTAAGAACAGAGCCTCTGAATGTTTAAGTAGTGGAAAACTAGAGATGCTGGCAATTACTGCACACAGGGACATGTTACAGAAGACAAATGAGACATTTTAAGAAATAAAACAAAACAAAAAAAAAAAATCAAAGGAGTAGATGGAAGCACATCTGATCAGGTGAGAGTGTGAAAAAGTTCATTAGGTCAACACCGCACCCACACAGTGACTCTCTCTAAAAGAATAATCCCGTTTAGATTAACGGTCGGATAGGCTGTTCAGGATAAGGAGCTCTTGTATAGATTAAGATATATATAGATTAAGAGTATTTTAATCTAATTATGTGAAACGTTCTTACAGAGAGCACATTTCCACCTTGCAGGATAGAAGAAAGGAATGGCGAAAATCAATTGTAGATTTATTACCATTCCCAACTGGCATGGACAGCTGGCAGATATCTATGTCAATATTTACGGTGAGTTCTCCTTTGATGAAATCTGACGAAGGACGACACTCACAGGACAAAGCTTTGTGAGATGAAATGCTGAGCAAATGACAAGGATTCAGCGTCAAAAGGCCAGAATATGTACAATGACATTTAAATCTGCAGTCTACGGAGAAGATTTTCTGTGGCTGGTTTCTGATGCTGCTCTGTGCTGCTGGTGGAAATTTCAGCTGATTTCAATTTACTGGAGGAATGGTAAATAATGCCAAAATACGTACTTCTATTTTCTAAATAAGTGAAAAAAAAAAAACAGAATACCTTTTAAGCAATAAAATTTGTATTACCTAATAAAATAATGACCAATGGTGCAGAAAAAAAAAAAACAGAGAACGGACTTCTTTTTTTCAAAAATCCTCTAAGTTACGTGGAAAATAAAATCCAACTTAAAAGAATTGCAGCATCTCTCCTTGACTCTTACATATTTCTTATTTTTATACTTCAAATCCTACATATCACAAAGCAAAAAATCATGATTTAAAATATCCATTAAAAAAAACAGCAGCTTTGCTAAACAATATATCTTTATATATATATTGACTGCTGAGGCCTATTTAGATTACATGCCCTTCAGCAGTCATTGGCATGTTAACCATCTTTAGCATTTTATGATAGAAATTAGCATGGTTATTTTAAATAGCATTAGTAACTATGCAGCATATAGTTTAAACACACTGGTCAACAGAATCCCCTTACAGCAGTGCTGCAAATCTAAAAGTTTCCCGCTTTGGTTTTTCCTGTGAATTCAGCAAGACAGACCTCACAGCCCCCTGGTTAAACTACATTTCCGTTCTCATTTAGGTTGTGGACCGCTGCTGTGTGCTCTTGTCAGAGTGGTTGTTTGGCCACATACTGTTTCCATAACACTGCATCTCTCTTTGAGCGCCTGGAGAGTCACGACTTCAGCCAGGGGCTCCACTGAGCGAGAGCGGGCCCTGTTACGCCCCCAGGTCACCAATATCCCCTCAGCCTCCTCAGAAACACAGCTTACCGGAACAGATATAGCAAACTTTTGTTGCTCTTTAGACCTTTAAGGGTTTTTTTTTTTGCTCTTTTTTTTTATTTCTTCTCTTTCCTCCCTCTCTTTCCAATTTGTCAGGTGGAAACAGGGTGTGAAAAACAGCTTTGTTTTTCAACAGAGCCATGGGGACCTGACTTGACTTAGGACTGCCTGACTGAAAGTAAATACGATTGATCATCAAACCCTATGATATGCAACACATAATTCAAAAATAATTGTTGACACCCTTTAAGTAATTTTTACAATTACTAAAAAAAAAGAGAGAACTTTTTATAAGGATTCAAGTGAAATGAAAAGCTTACTTAGCTGTAGTTCTATGCATAGTCTGCCATTACAGCTGACTAACTGTGTGGATTTAGCAAAGAAGCAGACAATTAGATTTGGAACTGAAACAAATACCTGTGAACCAAACAGCAACAAGCTAATCTGATTAAGAGATACCTGAATGGATGGCACCTGCTTGCAGGAACGAATTCATCCTCATGTACACGGGGGACCATTTGGACTGTTTCTTTGTAGTTTGTGTCTTTCTTTTCGGTTGTGAATGAGTCTAATTGAGTTCTCACTTTCAAGGTGGTACTCTGCTCAATGCAAACATAAATAGGGCCAGGGTAGGCCCTGCAGTGTAAAAAGACATAATATTATATATATGTGTGTGTGTGTGTGTGGGGGGGTGTGGGTGTGTGTGTGTGTGTGTGTGTGTGTGTGTGTGTGTGTGTGTGTGTGTGTGTGAGTGCGTGTGTCCTTTACATGACAAATTTAACATGGCGACCATAACTATCTACAAACAGTTACATTGCACAGCCACAAGAATCTCTCACCCATTCCTTGTCCTGAAACCCACTGATCAGTAAAATCCAGATTCACTCAGATATTACAGAGTAGAATTACTAAAACAAAGTTTGATGAAAAAAAAAAAAAAGAAATCACCAAACAATAGATCCTAGGTTTAGACTGGAGTAAAATAACTGCAATTAGCTGACAGCAATTTCTGGTTTTAATAATGCTGGTCACGAATTTTGATTTAACGGCCTAAAGTCTTGGTAATAACTCTGCTGCTTGAGGAAGCTTACAGGTCTTTGGGTTGTCCTTCAATTCATCTCAAGGAACAGATTGTGTTCATACTGTAGAACTAATGCAGACAGATGTCTAATAGACCACCTCTAAAGCTGGTCTGATACAGGGTTGCCATCTGTAGAGTGGAGATTGAGATAAGATGGGGTAAGAAAGGGGCCAGCATAACAACTGGATTTTACTAACACATTCTTACTTTTAAGAAACAACCAGAAATTACATTTGAATGAATGAATCTTTATCATGAAAAACAGTTTAAAAAGCTGCAGGGTTCTGTGCTCTGTGTTTTATATTAAAAGTCACTAGCAAGAGTATTTTCAGGTCTTGGACCAGAATCACTGATGGCTCTGAAAACTTACTGAATCTATGTCATCTAAAATTAAAGGGGTTCTGAAGACAGAAGGAAGTCCAAAAAAAAAAAAAAAGTAAATTAAAGTCAACAGTGATTAAACAAATCTTGAAATTCAGTTCTTTAGATATTGTACGTTTTGAGCTGCCCATCACAACAGTAAAATGTGGCACTGTGTTTAGAAGGAACCCCTCCAGGAAGGAGTGTGGTAACAAGTGTTTTGCTCCAGTTACTTGAACTGTTTTTGGAAGAGTGAGAAAGCAAGCGTCTCACTCCAGAAGAACAAAAGTTGTCAACCCTATCATCGCAATGTTTTGAGTGTATTTGCAACTGTATTTAGCTTGTGTGGTTACATATGGACTGTCATTCACAATGCTAAATATGATTCCAATGTTATGATATGCTTTAAAAAGTAGGTTAGTTTCAAGGTATAATGGTATTCACACAAGATTTTTTGGTTTACTTTACATTGCAGTATGTGACATTTATATTAAAAAAAAATATTCTGGCAATTCTGCTCATGTATGCACTGCTTACACCCTCCACCTTCTCTCTGCTGCACTTCAGCTTGTTCGCCACAATAGTTAGTTCAGGTTAGTTAGCATGGCTGCCGATGACAGCAGGTTTTTTTCAGCAACAGTAAGTCCTCTGCCATTAGCCGTTTAGAAGCTAATGGCGTCCACGAGGTTCACTGACAGCGTTAAATCAATCCTCCTGGCTCTGATTGGTTGTTTTGGTCCGGGAACGGTACGTTTCTTCAGATGGGGAGAGTAGAACTGGGAGGAGTGAGGAGCTCAATCTTCTCACAGATGATTTGTCTTGTATTATACTTTCATGACATGGTGACAAATATTTAACAAATAAAATAAAATACATATATCACATGTATCTTTTTTTTTTTTTTACTTTTTATTATTCATGTTTTTGAAATGGGAAATATTTCAAAACATCCATAATTTTGTAAACGTCAGAAAGTAGCCATATTGTACAGCGACAGTTTGCGTTGGGGGAGCTCCGCGTGTAGGACGGCCAGGAAAAACTGAAATGGTTTCTGGCATCTTAATAAAAAAATAAAATAAAATAAAAAAACCTTAAAGCATGTTATGACAGAAAATTATAGTGTTTATGACACTAACTTTTAAAAAAACCTACACTGATCCTGAGAAATGGCTCATGCCTATTCAGACTGGACATGCAGCAAATATTAGGTTGGAGGTGCAAATCAACAGATCCAGAGAATGAGAGTAAAATCAATGCAGGGGAGTGTTCTGTGTGTTCTGTGTGCAGCCCTGCAATACCAGTTTGACAATATTAAAGAGCATCGCCTTTTCTCAGTTGATGGGAGGTAGGCTGAAGCAGAGCGACATGTTTACGAAAAACGAGGGAAAACGCTTAATCCGCTTTCATTTATAGCCTGTCACAAACTCATGGCTCCGATCACGTGGCCAGTGGCGTCTGTCCATGCAGCATCTGAATATGACAAAGTTGACAGCTTGCATTGTCTGAGCCGCGATTAATTGTACCGGTAAGGTACTCCAGGGACAACTGAAGCAAGGAGAAAACGCAGTTTGCAGTTTGACATTCAAACTCAAGCGAAAGCGCAGAGAAAATGCAAGAACATGAACCCATTCTGTTTATTTTTTTATTTTCTTTTAAAAAATATCCAAAAGCCACAGGAAAGTTGTCATTACAGATCAGATCCCATCCCCTTATCCTTTTCTAAAATAATATAAGTTGGTGCTGCAACCCATTACAAAAAGATATATTTAGTAACAACGTCCCACTGTCTAAATCTCGATCTAAAGCAGCTCGCTACGTGCACGTCCACATTTTTGTGAACGAATAAACATTTAATTGCTCATGTTTCTGAACAAGTAGTGAACAGGAACTTTCCGTATTTTGTGGAGTTTGAATACGAATAAAACACATTCTAATTTTAATTTATATGACATTTTACATTAGGGAAATAAAGAGAGACAGAAAGAGAGAGAGAGAGAGAGAGAGAGAGAGAGAAAAGTCTGTAGCACAAAGTACAAAAAACAGTCGGGTCCGCCCTCCCCCCCAGTAGCTGCGTGCTCGCAGGAACGATGCTGCGTCCTGGAGGAAAAGTTGTGAGATGACTCTTACCTTATAATCGCCGTGTCGCCCTGGCGGATGGTGATGTTGTCGGTGGCCCGCTGCATATCTACACTCCGGACGGGGAATCCTGTGGGGATAAGACAGAGCAGTCTGAAAAAAGAAGCCTGCAGCTGCCTCCAACACGATTTGTGCCCCACATGCATCTTAAAAGCGCGTCTCGGGAGCAATAGATCCAAATGTGCAAAAAAAAAAAAGGCCAAAAAAGAAAAATAAAAAAAAAAAAAAAAAAAAAAAAAAAAAAACAAGACGAGTGGTCCAGGCTTCTGTTGTAAACAAACGCGGGATAAATGTAGGTCCAAAACGGGATGGATGAGAGCCTGAAATAGTTAACGGCTGGGGGGTGGAAAAGTGCGGGGTCCTCGCTCTATAGTCCAGTGACGCGTAATGCTCCCCGCGTAAAGGGACTGCACAACCCACAGCGGCGACGGAGAGAAGCAGGCTACTGTTTAGACTCTGTGAAAATAACTCCCCACCTCCTCACTCTTCCTCCCTGTTTCCCTCTCTGCTCTCTCCCACTCTCTCTCTCTCTCTCTCTCTTTCACATTATCCAGCCTCTCTGACTGTGAGGCTCCCTTCATTCGTTGTCAGGACAACAGCACCACCTGAGGTCCCTTTCAGTGACACACAGCTGAGTGAGGACCACCGTAAAATAACTGTCCAAAAGAGAAAAAGAAAGAAAAAGTACTATTATGAAAGATAAAAACAATGTTTTCAAAAATATTCAAGTTAGGGGGTATATTAAAGGGATAGTTCAAAACTTGAGATTGAGGTTCTGGTAAAAGTTTATAAGCTGTAAATATCTTATTGATGGATAAGTCTCGTGGTGTTTTCATTTAGCATACGTCCATATTTATTGGTCCTGGAGACTCCTTCTCTAAGAGAGGTCAAGACTAAAGCAGATTTCTATCATCGTAAAACAAGTTCATTCTCAAGAACATTTTAGGTATGTGGATGCTATTTTGTAAACCAGTAAACTGTTGTCATGCTTGCAATGGACAATGTTTTTTTTTTTTTTTTTTTTTTTTTTAAGAAATTGAAGAAGGAGGTAGTTTGTCATCAATGATTCATCCATGTTCTGAGAATGTATGTTTGTGACATCTTTCAAAATAACTGACATTGATAAATTACTAATTTTGGCTTTTTGGTCAAATTTATGAAAAAACATAGAAAGTTCACATGACTACAATGTTACTACTGCTAGAGGTGGTTATGCTACAACAGAAATGTCACTGTCTCAATAATGTTTCATATGCTCTTGTGCATAAATTACAGCTTGACTACAATGTTTGATGCTGTTCACAAGTCAACTTATCTGCTGGGGCCTGTCATCCCACTCTTGAAGGGTGACCCTCAGGTAACTAAGGTTGTGGGGGAACAGGTTTACAAGCCTTTACATGGAGACTCAGCTGATCTTAGAGGTTTTTTTATGCTTGCGTTGTTCATGCTGGGTCACAATGTCTGGATTAATTATGGTGTTTCAGGTACCAAGGACTTATCACTGTAGCATTTACAAAGTGCTGGGCAGTTTTGTATTGATTAGACACATCTGCCTACTCTGTAACGCCACCACTAAAGGTGTCAATAGTGACTGATGCATATTGTGTTCTCTGATGTCTCCAACATTGTCTTTGGGGATTAATTCTATTCAGAATGGATCGAGAGAGAAAAAAAAAAAGAAGCATCATTGGGGCCCACCTGTCCTTTTGTCCAGTGTCCCTTCCCCATGGCAGATAATTAAACCTTACTAACACAAACCCAGCTTCAAACAGGTCTTAGTTTCTGTGAATAGTGTTAAACCTCAAACACAATCCTGAACTATTCCTTTAACATAAGTAGTACTATAGGTTAGAAAAGAGAAGGCAAGAATGTGCTTTAAACTCGCTTAGCAGGAATGTATGCAAAGAGAAACAGTGGGGATCATTAGAACATTAGTCATTGAACATTTATTTAAAACATCACCAAGGAGCTTCCAGGCCTGGCAGTTTTGCGCTGGTGAATTAATTATCTGAATAGCAGCCCGGAGGTACTTTAAAGATCTTAAAATCTTAGGTATAGAATGGCCAAAATAATTTCCATTCTCATTTAATTGTTGGACTGTTTTCAATATTTTTTTTTTAATATTCTAATTAAAGTGTATGTTCCAATGGTCTGTCACACAGACTAGCTTTAGATAGAAATCCCATTCCAAAATAAAGAAAGAATCCCTGAATTGAATCAGAATCCTGTTGCAAGGATTAAAATAAATGATCATCCATCCATCCATCCATCCGTCCATCCGTCCGTCCGTCCGTCCGTCCGTCCGTCAGGTCAGGTCTAAGTAGGGAGCTGACCTGACCAGACTTCCCTCTCCCCAGCTTTCTCCTCCTGGGGAATCCCAAAGTATCCCTAGGACAGCCAAGAAACATAGACAATCTACTTTTGGAAAAAAAAATTCAAACCTGCCTATTTATCTGGCTGTATGCATGCAACCGGATGCAAAAATATAATCCAGGAATTTCTGTATATGTTTTCATGAGCTGTGCAACACTGTTAAGCTCAATAAAAAAATGGCTTTCTTGAAATTTCTGAACCTATGTTTAAAAATACATTGAACTACTGTCATGATCTGGGTTTCTGTGTGTTTATTTTTGAGTTCTTCTGTGTTCAGTCCTGTTTTCCCTGTGTAGTCCTGTTCCCTGTGCGTCTCTGTCCTCCCTGTTGATTGCTCCCCAGGTGTGTCGTATCCCCCTGATTACCCTGTGTGTATTTAGCCCCACCTGTTGTCTGTGTTCGTTGTCAGATCCTCGTCATTTGTAACTGTTTCCCTGTGCCGTCAGTCTACGTCTGTTTATGGGTTGTACGCAGTTGAACTGTGAAGTCCTGCATCGACATAAGCTCGTTTACATGTCCGTTTGACAGTTGCTACCAGTATTAGCTGTGTGCTAACTTTCTGCCGTGCTGCCTGTTCAAGACTGTGAGCTACATTATTAAATTCATCATTCTCATTTTACCTGGGTCTACCTGCGTTTCCTCACCACCTCAACCACATCGGTCATGACAACTACACCTATTTTTCTTGCTGCATACATCGGAACAGATGCTCTGACAAAACCAAACTATAATTCTACAGAAGATACTCATTAATTCTGTGCTCAGGGCAATAACATCCAAAGATACTGTTAATAGAAGAACAGAAAGAAACATAGAAGCCTCTTCTATGTACTACTGAGCCAACATTAACAAATGCACAAACTTATTTCAAGATCACGTCACTTGTAAAGCCAATAAATATGTGAAGCAATGTAATTCTCTAGTTTGTTCAGAAAGGACTATTTGTGTCCTTTTAAAATGACTATTTGCATGAACAGTGCCAAAATAAGGAGCAGCCTTTACATGTGTGTAAAAGCCATTGAAAACATGAGAATAAGACAGTTTTTCTTACCAACTATGCAACAGCTATATTCGGTATTGTCTAGCGATCAGTGGAAGATTCAGTTTAGTTCAGAGTAACGATTTAACACACTAGATTTAGAATTTCAATCCAAATTCCAATTTGAATTTTCAATTAGAATTGAGAATGCCCGTGAATAACTCACTTGACCATGTGTTCCAATGTGCAGTTTGTTTTGTATTCTTTACCATTTGGAATTATAAAAAGCTCTGCAACCAGTTATAAGGACTGGCCATGCATGACTATACTGTGTGAGAATTCCCTTATTCCTATTGTCTACACCATTAGTTACACCTGTCTGATTGTATCCAATTACATGGTGCTACTTCTATTCATTCAGATATTTAGATGTGAGGAAAATGACTTTAAACGTGCCATACTGGCCTGGGGTTTTTCTGTATGGAGTTCTCACTTCCCCCATGATGTGTGGGTTCTCCCTAGATACTTTGGCTTCTCCACACATGATGCCAATGTGTTTACTAGGTGAACTGGGTACCCTAAATTGCTTTTGGGTTTGGATGTGTGTGTGTGTGTGTGTGCGTGTTTTATCCTTTTATTAACCACTGACCTGTCCAGAGGTACCTCACCTCACACCCAATGGGAACTAACGATTTTCAGCCAAGAAATGTTGGCATGCTGGAGAAACAGATTGAAACTGTCATGTCAACATGGGGAAAAAAAAAGACACCTTTCAGATTCTGTTATAAGAAAAAGGAACATTTGAAAAGCAAAAAAAATGGTCTAACCTGGTATGGACACAGTGTGGGTGAATCTTCATCAGCACACATAGCAGCAGAGCACAGGATTAAATTATTTATGGGGCATTGTTGTAACATTTAAATAGCCTTTATTTAAACAGCATGCCAATTGTGCAAATCTGTGGTGCATGTGTTGTTTTAAAATTGCATCACTGTGATATTTTTTAAAAATATCCATGAAATGTATAACAGCTTGGTGTGGCAAACGAACAAACTTCGCATAATACAGCACTAGACTGGTAGAAAGGTCATGCTGCAGCATTAAATCTGGGTATCCTTGTATGTCATAAAAATGCAAGGCAGAGACGCGACAGAGTGATGGGGGAATAAATTCGTTATCTGGAGCTTATTCCACTGTGACACAAGCTGTATAACGGGAAATAACGGAACCAAAGAAAAAAAAACAAAAAAAACGTGTTTATATTAAAAAGGGCAGCTTACTCACATCAATAAATGTTTGAAGGTGTAATGCTGTTTATAAGTTAAGAAAATGTTTTCAGTGAGATCTGTTTACCAATATGATGTGAAGTCATCCCTAAAATCCCTGCAGCCCTCTACCAATCTTCTAAGCCTCTGGTAGTTGAAGCAATCTTAAAGATCACACAGTTAAAGGAGCATGTGCATTTAAAACCACTTTAAATTGGGACTACTAGTTCTGAAGAAGAGAGCAGGGTACGACTCTGCATACAGAGTCACACAGCAGAGAATCTCATGTGGTGTTGAGCTGTATTTTTAGTCATACATTCTCTGAAGTCGGTCAGTGATCTGAGTATACAGCAACACAGCAGCACTCATGAATGCCTAACAAAGAGCCAGTCATTCTCTGTTCTAGCCTACACTGAAGGACTCAGACAGTCAAACTGAGGGCTGAAAAATATTGGGGTTATAACAAAGCTGGCATGATGCACGCAAAGTTTTAGTGTTGTCGTTTTCATAGTATGTAAGGTACTCCATTAAAAGCTCATATGCAAGAGAGGTTTAGAAGTAAGTAGAAGTATTTTGAAAAAAAAAAATACTTCCTTCTTTTTGTATGAACCCAAATGCATTGAAAATG